AAAAAAAAAAAAACTCCCAGGCTGAAGGACACTTTGTTAATAAGTAATACCCACGCTGTATTAGCTGCATATTTAGCCATGAGAATTCATCTACATTGCTTTCAGACAAAATCATTTAGTGAAGCGTGCTTCAAAATGTAACGGCGCGCCTTTGTGTGACATTCAGCTGGGAATGTGAACTTTGGGCTTGTTCAGAGCAAGGACAGTCAGCTGGAGTTCTGTGCCACAATGCAAATGCCTTCATCCCTCTATTCGGCATTTCAAACATAATTTCCTGACCAAATCAGAGAGGAACTGCAAAGAGATTATTCTTGAGACCTATTCCAACTTCACTTTGCACTGTAATTGCTTGGAAATTTTCTGCAGATGGTTTTTAAGCATACTATTCTCTTGTTCGGTAATAACAAAGCTTCTCTAGATACACTCCAGGACTCCCAGCGGTGTGCGGTATTGTATAGGAGAGCTATCAAACACACACACTTTTTCTAAGTATTTAAAATTAACAGCAGGGGGTGTAAAGCAACCGACAGTGAGAGACAGAGCGAGAGAAAAAGAGATGAAGACAGGAATTGACTTTTTGCCGTCCCCCAGCGTTTACCCTCTTCTCGTGTTCATTACAACACCATTATGGTTTTGATGTTTTCCCCTCCTTTCCAACATACTGTCGGTTTCGTTCTTTAATGTGGTCATTCGGCTACAAGAATTTTTCAACTGAACAGACGTCCGTGTCATTACCTGCAATAAGGGTCATTTCCCATAAGGAAAAGAGAGAGATGGGAATGTTATATGGAGTGACTGGCGAACACTGTATAAATACAGACCCAGCTCCCAATCAGAGACATTATGCCATATGTGTGAGAAACATCCAATGCATGCAGAAAAACACAGGCTCTGACATGAGCTGTGCTTGTTTGTATGACCTGATGTCTCATTCGGCCCTGCTAGAGGCCTCATTATACCTCACCGCTGGTCGTTGGGAGCATGGCATTCAGTCTGACACTAGAGCTGAAGGAGGAGGAAGTCGGGGCTGTTTAGGAACTCGTTCTCATTAAGAGCTGTGTGTGTCACTGGGGAGACTTTCTGCTCCTAACAGCCTCCAAAAGTAGCTGAGCTTCAACAACGGCCACACAATGTCTCCATCTGCAGGGAGAGCTATACCTCCTCCTTCCATCTTTCTTTGCCTGTCCGTATTGTCTGTTTTTTTGTAATCTCCATTCTCCAATCTGTGCTCTATCTGGTCTGTTTTTGTTTAAACAGTCAGATATGTTTAGCCTGGACAACGACAGGAACAGTGAAGGCTATAGCGCTACTGACAGTAACAAGTTCCTCATCCTGTGAGGATGCAAAATTGGGAGAGTTGCTTCAGTCACGAATGTGTCAGATTTGGCTATAATGCTCCTGGAACCAATATTTCCTGAGTGCATGTTCACCACAAACAGCAACTCTTGAGGGACAGGTAATCACGGATGGTAAAAATGAGCATTCTTTCCATCTTCCATCCCATCATAAATTATGAGGGGTTAAAGTGAACATGAAATAACAGTCGAACCATTCATGTAACACTTTAAAGTAAAGTTTAAAACTTTAATATTGCCATCCCTAACATGAAATAACAATGAACTTTCACAGCATTACTCTTGGTTAAATGTTGTTTAAATTAAATTGGTAACACTTTACTTGAAGGGGTGTGCATAAGACTGACATGGCACCTTCATAATCATAACCATGACATAAACGATAACAAAAGACATCTCAATCAATGTCATCTTTGCATTAAAAATTACATAACTGAGCGAATGACACTTAATGACAGTTGTCATAAACATGCATAAAAAACCCTTCATATTCATGACATGTGTCATGTCATGATTATGTAGGTGTCATGTCAGTCTTATGCACACCCCTTCAAGTAAAGTGTAACCATTAAATTTGTAAAGCTGTATAACTTAACAATGATTAATGTTTTATGAACAAACATGAACTAACAATGAATTAACCTAAATCTAAAAAATGCTAAGAAAAAAAATTGTGTTCACTGTTAGCAGTAAAAAATAAAAATAAAAACTTTACAAAAATTTAATATTTTGTTAATTTAATTGAAGTTGAAATAAAATAAAATGTAAATATTACATGAAAAACTTTGAAATGATAAATACTGTGTTGGGAACTAACTGAAATAAAATAAGCTGAAATACAAAAATCATAAAAGTAAATATAAATAGCATTGGATACTGACTGATACTGTTCCTGTCTTCCTCCCTGTAACTTCCTTCCCTCTCTCTACTTTGTCCTCAGTGATAAAAGGCAAAAAAACACAACAATTTAAAAAAAGTTTTCTATTCACAAGCAATTGTTTATTTGATGTGAAACAAATAGCTATCGCTCAACAACTGCTCATGACTTTCTTTGAGGCCAGTTAGTCTGCATCAGCATGAGGTCAGATTACTTTCCTCTACAGTGGCATGACTCTAAAAAAGGAACTATAAAGAGATACTGGGGAGGGTGAAACAGTCTTTAAAAACAGTTGGGAAACTCTTTGCAAGTTGAGAGAAAGGGAGCGCGGAGGCTTTGACAGAAAGCACAGAGGGACAGCCACACTGCTGGCTTCCCAACACGGAGAACGCACAAATGAAACGGAGAGAGAGAAATATCAACCTCTCTGCACCATCACTTCTTCGGCTACGACACAGTCAAGCACCGCACAAAGAAAACACATCTGCATTCCCCAGATCAAACCGCACTTTCAACTGTTATCGCAAATAAACGTATACATGCAAGACATCAGCGGCTTCCTCTCACAAAAGTTATAGCAGTTTTGAAATGGAAATGAATCTGAAATATTTTGAAAGGTCATGGCATGCATCAGCCCAAGTCATCTGTAGCAGCATGTGCCATCTCCGTCATGATAAAGAATTGAAGTCAGGGCTAGAAAATGAAGGAAAAGTTTGTCTTTTGTAATTCTCAGACAACCTGGTGAAAAAAAGCTTCGGTGAGAGTACACGGTTTAGCCTTCTTCAAACATTATAGGCAAAGAAATGCAATGTTATATTAACCTATGGTAACAAGACTTGTCAGCTATTCCTTTAACAATAATTTTAAACCCTTAATACATCATGTAATGGTATTTCTTCAGAAATTTAGAACAGCTCAGTACAAATCTCATCTCTGTAAAGTTGGCAGAGTCCACAGTAAATCAGGCAGCAACTTCCAATATGTTAACTTACCCACTTGAGACCAGATCTCCGATTTTAGAAAAATGAAAACGAGCTGGTGCATGTTCAAGTGGTGCTATACTTTAGCAGAGAGTGAGGCGGTAGGAGGTTGTGTCAGACTTTAGGTGTGTTGTGGAATCGGTCCAAACAGGCTTCCCTAATCTCTGCTGAGTGTGTTTGTTTGTCTCTGAATGTCAGAACGCCTTCGGGCCAGGAAGACAAAGTTCAAAGCAATGCAGATACACTTTGTATATGAGTCCAACTGTTAGATAAAACTGACACAGATTTACAGAGCAAATAAAAACAATGCAGCATGGCAGTCAACAAAACTGCATATTTTGTGTGAAAATCCCTTTTTTGGGAGAGGGGGAAAAACTATTGCAAGATCATTATATGAAAATTATAATCTCATAAATTCTTATATAGTATAATATAATATAATATAATAATGATTATATATGTGTGCAATGGCTGAGAATTTATCAGATTTATATGAATATATAGTAATATACTGTACAGTATAATAAAAATTACATACATGTAATATAATAATTTAATTATTACATAATACAAATGATTATAATTTGCATATACACTACTGTGTAAAAGTCTAGTTTTAAGTCAGTTGTTTCTTTCTTTTGCTGAAGTGTGTCAGTAGGAAATTTCATTTTACTTTTCCAAACATTCCCATTAATTGTAATAATCCAGTGAGATTTTTGTTCGCACAAGGAGTCTGACAGCAGCCAGTGCTCCACACAGAGATCTGATCTCACCATCATCCAGTCCGTCTGGAATGACATGAAGAATCAGAAAAAATGGAGACAGACTAAATCCAGAAGAACCGTGGCAACGTCTCCAAGATGCTTGAAGAAACCTTCCTATGAAGCTACAATACTATGAAACTTTTTAGGCACTTGTGTAAAAATGCTGTAAATATAAACATACAGTATGTCATAAACAGATTTTATTTATCAATTAACTTCTATTAAATAAATGCAATCAACATTTGGTATGACCCCCCTTTTGCATTTAAAACAGCTTTTGACCTTGGTACACTTGCACATAGATTTTCAAGTAGTTTTGTAGGAAGGTTTCTTGAAGCATCTTGGAGACGTTGCCACGGTTCTTATTTTTTTCTGATTCTTCATGTCATTCCAGACGGACTGGATGATGGTGAGATCAGATCTCTGTGTGGAGCACTGGCTTCTGTCAGACTCCTTGTGCAAACAAAAATCTCACTGGATTATTACAATTAATGGCAAAATGAATGTTTGTTTATTGCCATTGGTCTAATGGTTAGAGAGTTGGACTTGTAACTGAAAGGTTGCGGGTTCGAGTCTCGTACCAGCATGGACTGTAGGTGGGGGGAGTGAATGTACAGCGCTCTCTTCCACCTTCAATACCACGAATGAGGTGCCCTTGAGCAAGGCACTGAACCCCCAACTGCTCCCCGGGCGCTGCAGCATAAATGGCTGCCCACTGCTCCGGGTGTGTCTTCTCGGTGTGTGTGTGTTCACTGCTGTGTGTGTGCACTTAGGATGGGTTAAATGCAGAGTACTAATTCCTAGTATGGGTAACCATACTTGGCCACATGGCACGTCACTTTTCACTTTCATTGTATTTGGACAAGCAAAACGCCAAACTCCTGTGAAACAAAAAGCATCAGAACTACTGATGAAAGCTTACCTCGTTGGTGTTCCAGCGATGTCTCTCCTTGGGCAGGGAGGAGCATTTGGGAAGGCATTCCAGAAGCTTCTTGGGCAGGTAGATTTTCAAATGTCCATGTTCATCTGTGAACGACACAAAAAAGTCACTTAATATGAAGTGTGAGCAGGATTATTAAAAAAAAAGCTGTGCTGCTCTCCAGAGTCTAAAACACTGGGAGCTGTTCTTTTTAAACAAAGATCCAATCATTTCTTTGTAAATTACTGAGTTGTTTGAATTCAATGTCACTATTGCTCAAGGGACTCCTTTAAAGAAACTTCCATGTCCAGGTGTTACGTTTGCAAATTGCTGTGACAACTTTTTAAAAATATAAAACTATAAACCAGGCACGAGACCTCAAAGGGGGAGTACTCAGAAAGCGATGAAAATTAAAAAAAACTTAAGATGTTACTGTGAAATGAAAGGGAACATATTTGGAGCACAAGGCGTGCAAAAGGCTTTCATCCAGAAATGTCGTAATTTTGTTTCCATTGAGTTTTTTTTTTAACGCTCCCGTTCTTTCTCTCTCTCTCTCCCTTATCATGCCAGAGTGCCTGCTCAAATACATAACAACAAAATTGGGCAACGGAGCAAAAGCATTTCAAGGTTATTGATAACCGTTTGCATCAAGGGCTCAGGCTTCTTAAGGAACTCAATGTTTAGCCCTGTGGGAGAAGGTAGTTCCATATTGCGTGCTGAGCCTGCTTATGAATATAAAAAAAAGCAAAGACACTGAAAGAAAAGGAGAATGAGAGACTGACTGAGATTTGTGGAGAGTGTCCTCGGTAAAAGACGAGAGAAAAGTAAAAGAGATGCTGCAGATCTGAGCGAGATGAAGCCCGTGTGTCCATAGAGACACTGCTTAGCAACCACTCCCACTCTGGCTTTAAGGACAAACAGATAGCCAGAGGAAAAGAGACACATGAAGAGGGTTAGGATCACTTTACTGTTCATAGTCTTACACCAGAACCAGCGCACATTTTTGTGCTTTACCGGTGCATGAACTTAAACCCACATAACAAATTCAATTCCCTATAGAAAACACCCAAGTGCATCAAGATATCTTTCAAATCACCATTCAAACCAGATCTGATAAACGCAATTGCACCTGAAACATACAGTACTAGATACGAGTATGTAAATGCCAATGCTTCTAGCTTTGCAAGCTCAATTTCGTACACGGTTGCGTTCCAAAATATCTCACATTGCAATTCTGCATTCTCAGAGTTGCCACAAGGGGCACTAAAGCAGAAATGTCTGTATTTACAGTGACTTTTATCATGAAAATCTCAAGTTGACATGAAAACCTAGAGTATATTTCCAGTCTTTTGGCATATTCATACCAAGGGCGATAACTATAAAGTATTAATAATCATTGTAATTACAACAGTAATGACACAGAGGAACTATATCATTGGAATCATTTTTAGAACAATTTTTCTTGCTAATGAATGATACAAACACTGACTGACAGCTGATCATAATCCACCTGACTTTAAAATCCTAGAGCATTTAAAGTGGTATGTTACAAAATTGCAGTGTGCACTTTTAACAGCGTCCACACCAACAGATGATACATTTCTGTCTAAGATAGTCATCTTTATAGTTATCATTCTTGCTGTGAATGGGCCTTTAGTCTTTAAGAACTGCTTTTTTTGAATATCATGAATTATAACCATTGATCTATAATAGAGAACTGGTTTGCTGATGACGTCATATAAGTGAAGCCACTGCGCCGCCATATTGGTATTCCCCTTGTATTCCCATACATTCTATTGAATTAATAGGAAATCATATGAATTAATAGGAAAACATATGATTTTAATGAGAAAACATAACCTAACGAGTCAGCGATTTATATCTGAAGTATCCCTGTACATTCTTACAACGCAAACCTCCTATGCATGTAAACGGTTATTTGTTTAATGTCAGGAATTTGACCTGCGTATTAAAAAGTTACGTTCATATACATTACAGTAGCGAACATCAGATGGATGAAATCTTCAACATATGCATTTCAAATGACAAAGTGCTCATAAAATCTGAATGAAGATTTATGCTTTGCATTCACATACCTTAATTTGCCTTGTATTCTTGTATATACCTGCATTCATTTTGAAGCAGGTAATGATTTAAACGTTGGTTAAATTAATAATTAAACATACATAACATTTTACTCCTATGCAAACTGAAATGCTAGTAAAACGCCATAGAATTTGCTCGGAGAGTCTGAGTTGCTTAATCAGGACATTTATAATATAGCGACACATAACATCATTCAGAGAAATAATGCTGACTACATACGGTACAGACTTAAAGACATGAAGCATTTTTTCCCCAAGATGATGCATGTTAAGCTTAGAATTTCAATACAACAGAGCAATGTAGTAACAGAAGCTTGTATTGTATTATTCATTGTATATTCGAATACATTTCAGATACTAATACCAGATATATATGTTTAATATTTCCTGCATAATTAAGTACATAAAGAAATATATTTTTGTTTTGGATCAGTTACTTGTGTCAGCCGTGTGCAGCAGACACACCATTTAAATATGTTACATCTGAAGTAACAATTTACATACACATATCTTAAAAACTAATCCTGTGTAACTGATACGCTTCAAATCGGGTGATTTTAGGGCAGTGTTTTGGTTGTCAGTCAATGCTCTCAAAAATGTACTAATGGCCGCACCCACTCTTGGATGCGATGAACATGAATGGCACATACATGAGAAATATGCATATTAAAATCACAGACTTTTGATTGCAGACATCATGCCTTGGCAAATCTAGGCAGAGTCTGAGACTACCAGGACATTTTACTCGAAAGAAAGACATAAGGAACAGGAGACTTAAGCAAAGTTAACATTTGCTCTTCCATTCAATCTCACTGGCATCTAGGAGAAACTGTTAAGTTTGAAAAGATCTCATTTGTGATTTTGTTTCGTTGGAATCGTTTCACATTATGAATTGGGAGATCTGTGGATGTTATGCTTCAGCTAAAGCAAAGATTGAGAAGCAAAACACACAGTACATTCGCATAAGATAATGAATAAATGAGCAGGCTCTTTTGAAAAGTTCTGCTCTTTTTCATTCCAAGTAACACGACTGGGATGCATTATAAAAGGAACGAGGCGTTGAGAAACTTATTTACAGGGTAATTAAGACTAGACTATATATCCCTTCCTGTTCCTATTCGTTATTTCTTGTCTCTCCCTTCATCTCTGTCTCTCTCTTTCCCTCTCAGTACATGTTTTGGCAGAACAAGCAAGCGATTCTGAAGACTGCCATTTAGTCTCATTGTTCTGCATCAAAGTAAGGGGCTTTTAAATTATGCTGACTCTGACGACCGTGGCTTTAGAGGCAAATTTTAATCACAGAGTCAGTCGCCGTCTGCCAAGCGCTGCCTTAAGCGTTTGCCTTTCTCTCTTTCACGACCGTCTCCCAAGAGTAGCCAATGAGACGCAGAGCTGAGGGAAAAAGGCTTAAAGAAAATGAAAAACAAAACAATACTCACGCAGATATAAATGTGTGAATGTAGGCGGTAGAGAAAGTTAGAACAGAATAGAGCGCTGTAGACTATTTGCTCCTTCTCATGTAAACAATTATAGGTGCACGCAGGCGTACGCGCCCACCATAATTAATTATGAATGTATTAAGATAAATCGCTTCGGTTTCAAACTCTACTAACATATAAAAACACACTCACGCTTGACACGAACACCAATCAGCATTCAGTGCAGATGCCAAGGTGCAGCACCCGTATGTGGCCCTTGTCTAACTGATGCCCGAGACTCTTGATCTGAGGGGATCTTTGAAAAACACCTATCAAAACTGCCCTTCAAAGTAATGTCAAGCATCAGAGAGTCTCCCCTAAGCCAGGGATACAAAGGTATTTTATAACTTAACTCTTTATCATCTCACCGTAAAGAGCTCTTTTAAATTTTCCAGAAACTCATACACCATGTCAGCAGCTGTGAGTTGGGATAAAGTGATGGACAGACTGAAGTCTTTGACAGGAGGTGCCGGAGATCACTAAATACAGAATGTTCTATGCTGAAGGAAGTGATGAATGTTTCTTCGGCTGAGTGGCGCAAAGGCACAGTGGGATCTCACACTGTCAATAAGCAGCATGTTCGTACAGATCCCACATGTGGCTTTAAGTGACCCCAATAAGAACAACAACACTGATGGTGAGAGAAAAGCCCTAAAGGCAGTGGCTGAAAAGCAGCTTTATTTTCACTAAGAGTGTGACAAATGAGCTGAAACATACGGCAGATTTCCTTTTCCTTTTTGCAATATATTCATTAAGGTGATAAAACAGTTAGTCAGAATCAGGCATGGATTAACCATGGGCCATTTAAAACTAAACTCTCAAATACTTTGACAGACAAAACATAAGGAATCCATATTTTATGGAATACAAAATACTTGGAATTAGTGCTCTGCATTTATCCCATCCAAAGTACACACACACACAAGTCATTTATGCTGCAGCACCCAGGGAGCAGTTGGGGGTTCGGTGGCTTGCTCAAAGGAACCTCAGTCGTGGTATTGAAGGTGGAAGAGAGCGCTGTACATTCCCCACCTACAATCCCTGCCAGTACAAGACTTGAACCCACAACCTTTGGGTTACGAGTCTGACTCTCTAACCATTAGGCCACGACTTCCCCTTGAATTTTAGAAATAGCTCCATTTTACCCATTAATATGTGTTTTTAAAGTGATTGATATCAAAAACACATACAACATATTCTTGTTTTTTTATCCAATTTATTTTCAGTAACAACGGAATTTTTTTAATTAACACAACTGCTGTGTGTGGGCCTCCCAGTTTTTAATCCTCTTGGCACAATACAATCCTGAAGAGGTAAACCGATAAACAGGGTTCATAAAAACAGGGTTTTGACATTTCTTGCACACATCCATAATTAATGCGTTTTAATTGAGCGGATGGATCTAAATGGCCAAACGGGCTAACTGTGCAAAATGAGATCTGTACTTCTAAATCTGCAGAGCCACATTTCTGTTCATCCAAGGCAAGCACAAAGAAGGTCCGTCCTCCTGTATGTTCCCTCTGA